ATTCTCGACCGTACATGGCCTCGCTGCAAGTCCGAGGACGCCACATCTGTGGGGGGGCCCTGGTGAGAGGGGACTTTGTGCTCACAGCAGCACATTGTGAGATACCCATGTAAGATTTTAAAAAACAGTCAGAGATGTTTCTGTTATTTTGTGTTTTTTCATATCAGGTCAATTTAGTAGAAATATAAACTTACAGGGACCTTTAATTTGTCAGACCGAAGTAATTTATTACAGCAAACATTTTTACATATTACATATTTGTCAAAGTAAGGCTTAGTTACAAGCAGGAAATGTTTTTGTGGGATGCACTCTTTGACAATGTTTTACTGTAGTGAAAACATGTAGTGTGTTATGTAGCTTTTTCTGCATGTAAACGGTCTGCAAAGTCACAAACCCTCAAAGTACACCCTGTAGCGAGTAAAACTCTAACACAGAAAAGACGTGTCTATGCTGCCCCAGAACGCCTCGTTGTAGATTTTTATTTTTCCATGTTTTTCTTCCGGGACCTATTGACGTCACTAAGTCCAAATGGACCAATTGGCACACAGCTATAGAACAATAGGCACACCCTCTGTAGAGTGCAGGCTCTACAGAGGCTACCGGAGCGGACAGTGTGAGGTGGATTTCCTGCTGTGTTTCCCTGGATGCTGGATATAGACCAAGTGCCATGCCAGCAGACACCTGAGCTCCGCGGTGTCCACTGGCATGGCACGCACACAGACCCCACACAGCAACCAGGAAACTACACCAGTAATCCACCTCACACTGTCCGCTCCTCGAGCCTCAAAGGGCGGAGCAGCGAGCCCCGCAACGTCCCGCCAACACGGCACCCAGACCCCAGCATTCTCATCTGTTTGTCATTACTGGTGTCATTTTCTGGTTGCTAACAAACGCCATTGTAAAACATAAACACTGATGTTCAGCTGTAACGGTGGTTGACTAATCAGAACAGAGTGGGCGAGCTGACCAATCAGAGCACAGTGGGCTCATAGGGATGGTGGTGCAAGAGCTCCAACAAGCCGGGTAGGACAGAGAGTGAATACACATACTATACAGAGATGCTGTATGAGAAAACCAATGTGATTTTGGAACATTGAACAATGTAAATCTATTCTAGTAGACCTCAACAATGGAATTATGATCAGTAGAAATGGCCAAAACATGGGACCTTTAATGAGACCAAGTGCTGCATAAAAGGATCGACTTAATGCCCCGAAGATCAAAGGCAAGTCAATTGTCTTGCAGGCATCATGCATGCTCTGCACAAACTCCTGCTTTTTCAGGTCCTGACATCTCTCGGACAAAATGGTAATACTCCGAACTCTGTTTATTATGCTCCAATCATTAACTGAAATTAACCTATGACCTTTTACTTATTTCAGCAGATGGGAGTAGAATCATAAAAGGAGCAATAGCCCCAGATGATACGTTCAAGTTTTTAGTCTCCCTGCAAAACAACGAGACTTTGTGCTCACTGCTGCGCACTGTAGCGCCGAGTGAGTATAACTTCCTTTATCCGCTATCTTTGAATAGATAAAATAAAATCTATTAATATAAAATAAAAAAATGGCAAACAGTATCAGAAATCTAACTCAGCTGAAATTGTCTTACATGCTTTTATTACTAGTCGCTTGGACTACTGCAATTCTCGTGGTCTCCAAAAAAGTAATACACAATAAATCTGGGGAGGCTGCTTTATGTTTTTCCCATTGGATCTTAGAACAGCAAACTCCATTGGAGTTTTTAAAAGTAAATTGAAGACCTATCTTTGAATTTGGAGTCATTTTAGAGGTATCACTGTTTATGTTTTATTGTTTTTTGTATCTGTAAAGCACCTTAGGCTGCATCTTGCATTAAAGGTTCTATAATAATGATAATGATAATAATAATAATAATAATAATAATAATAATAATAATAATAATAATAATAATAATAATGCATTTTATTTAAAGAGCGCTTATCTAGAAACTCAAAGACACTTTACACAGTAATAAAATAAATTAAAACATAATTAAAACAAAACACTTAAAATATATAAAACACAACATTAATTACAGATTAAAAGCAGTTCTGAAGAGGTGCTATATAAATAAAGTGTATTATCAGTATACAATTAAGTATAACATGTGGTGAAGGTTTCAATAGATTCATACAAAAATACTATTAAGGTCTAATGATGCAAAATGTTACAAAAGTGCTGGTTAGGAATAGGTGTGGTTTTCAATATGAATAGCTATTTACAGAGAGAGGGGAAAATGCACAAGGACTTAATGTTCCTCAATATTACACTGCATGTCAAAATTGGGTTAACAGTCATAAGTTTCTGTGTGTACGATGAAATAGTGGCTTTAAAATGTGACAGAGGCAACCAAATGTAGGCTTTACAGGCTAAAAGAAAACCCCTAGCTGGTCACTTTTATTCACTTCATGGGCGTAGTTTCCACTGGGGACAGGGGGGACATGTCCCCCCCACTTTTCAAAATCCCGTTTGTGTCCCCCCCCACTTTTCAAATGTGTTTATTAAGACTGAGAGGCTGAGATAACGTCAGTTTAGCCGATGTAAAGGACTCGCTGAGTGATTAGATTGTAAACTTTAGTCTAAGTTATCTCAGTGGGTCTCAAACGGTTTGGTCATCTATGTAAAGAAATATTTCCATCTATTTAATATAGTTGTTCAAAATAAGTTAAGAAATCATTCCAATGTCAGTAAAAAATTAAAAGACACAGTTTAAAGGGGAGTGATTATTAAAATATGCATACATAAAAAGAAAGAATGCAGACTAGGTAAGTTTAAGATAGGAGAGAGGAGTATATCAATTATGTGTTATTGGTTGTGAGCAGAGATGGGGTCGTTACTAAAAAAAAGTAATATATTACATATTACATATTACTTTAAAGAAAAGTAATATATTACACTACTTCGTTACTCTCTACATAAAGTAACTCGTTACTTTACTCGTTACTTTACTCGTTACTTTACTCGTTACTTTACTCGTTACTTTACTCGCAGGGCCGGCCCACCCCTCCCTACAGGCAGATCACGCAGACTGCTAAAGTTTCAAATGTTCTCTTTAGTTCAGTCGCATAAGACTGATCCAGATAGCTCTGACTATGGCTGTCCTCTGTCTCCTGCTATCTGTATTTTGCGCAGTATATCTCTGAACGATGCGATGGTGATTCCACTGTGCAAATGGGCAACATTACCTCTACTATGAAGGATGCTACAAGCCTGTCCATCTCTGCTTTGGTTACCGGTCCTCCAAATTCTAATTTGTGCTGCTTCGGAGTCGGCGGCGGCGCACTCACAACATCCTCACTCTGGGTTCGGGGGTCCTTAGCTATTAGCTTCACCTTAGCATGTGTTCTTTGCAGGTGTTTGTTGAGGTTTGACGTGGTGTTTGCAGCAGTGGATAACAGCTTCTGGCCTGGACACAGTTTGCACCTCACCGTCACATTCCTGTCTATTCTTCGGACGAACTCAAAATAATGGGCATACATCCACCCCTCGAAAGTTATCACTGACTCTGCCATGTTTATGCAGCACTGCACGGGGAGATGTGGACGTGCAAGTCGCGCAGATTACGTACATATAAACCTGCGGCGGAAACCCCTCTTGTCTGTCAGTGTGATTATGACTGATTTTATAAAAGTAACGAAGTAACGCGTGTCGGGGCAATGTTAGTAACTGTAGTGTGATTACCGAATTATAAAAGTAACGCGTTACACTACTCCGTTACCGACAAAAGTAATATTATTACCCAACTCTGGTTGTGAGCATATTCTAATGGTTTTTGGAATATTGAAATGTATACAGTTCTGTTTCATATGAGTGTTGAGAGCTGTATCCATAAATCTCTTAATTTTGCTCTCAAAGTGCACCAGATTGATGCTTTTAACTTCAATTTAAAGGCAAAAATCTTCTCCTCATTATATATACTACACATTTTTCTTGGATTTTTTAACAGCATAGTCCTTAATATATTCGTAGAAAGGCAGGAAATTGAATTAAATTGAGAAAAATGTTTCATTGCAGTATTTACATGATGTATGTTCTTTGCAATGTTGCAAAATAGCATCTCCCGCAGGATGTGGTTGGAAGTGAAGATAAATAGATGGCAATCATATTGTGTAGTTCGAACTCTGCAGTAAAAAGGTTCCACTTGACAGCGGGCTGATCATCCTGTCGCCACGATGCATGGGCTCTACAAGTTTCTGCTTCTTTTTCTTCTGGCATGCCAAGATCAAAACGGTAAATTGCTCTGATGACTTTTCTTCATCCTGAAAATTAGATAATAACTAGTTTAAACTTTTTTTATTTACAGTACTTGGAAGTAAAATCATAAAGGGGAAAATTGCAGACGATACTTTGATGAAGTATACGGTATCGGTGCAGGAAGACGGTGAACACAAATGTGGAGGATTCCTTGTCAGCAGACATGTTGTTGTCACCCATGGGGGGTGTAAATTGTAAGTTACTCCTTTTCTAGCTAATGTTTTGTTGTTTGATGTAAAAAGCATGTTTCATTTGTTCTGTGTTGTCACAACTTTACAAAATACAACGATCACCTCTCACTGATTTATTTTTCAGTGATAAAGACAGAGAAGTATTTGTTGTTCTTGGCACCCACCATCTCAGCAAACCTGGCTCTCAAATAAAAGAACAAATTAAATCCACACGCAAACCCCCACCTGGAATTGGGACTGACATCATGCTCATTGAAGTAAGTTTATTCAGCCCAGTAGTCCCTTGGTTTGAAGAAAATTAAACAACTGAGTTTAATTCAGTGAGGGTAAATGTAAATAAACGGGGGGAAGCAAATAGTATGAAATATTCCTGCTTATAATATTTACACAGCACAACCAAAAACCGGTTGATTTACTGTAATACTGCTCGTAATAACCTTTATTTAAGTGACTCATGTGCTCCAACAAACACATTTGTAGTAGAGTAGGACTGTGTTTTGAAAAACTGCTTTTTGATTTTATATATATATACAAGATATATCGAACAAAACCAGAAGATTTACCAAAAGAAATTCAACTTCAAGACCCTGAAACGGATGTAAAAGAAAATGAAAAGTGCCAATTTGCTGGATGGGGTCCAGTGGAGAACGATGGATCTGATTATGACGATCAGCTCAATGTGGTGAACGTGACTGTCATCAGCCCGAAGGCTTGCAAAGATCAGCTTCCTGGACTTCGTGCCAATGCTATCTGTACAGGTGGAAAACAGACAACAGACAATGGAGGATTTTGTAAGGTATGTTAGATACATTTGTTTCTTATTCCAAAAGAAGGTATAACATCATGCATAATCTTTTTAACAAATAAAGATATTTCCTGCTTACAGAGTGATGCGGGTGGACCCCTCGTGTGCAAGGGGAAAGCTGTTGGAATTGCGACTGTCGACGACAAATGTTCCTTCCCAGGTTTACCCAACGTCTACATTGATATCTCAAAATACCGTTCCTGGATCGACAAAGTATTAAATGGAAAAATCATAAATCGGAAAATTGCCGACGATAAGTTGATGAAGTATATGGTATCGGTGGAGGAAGACGGTGAACACATATGTGGAGGATTCCTTGTCAGCAGACATTTTGTTGTCACCCATGGGGGGTGTAAATCGTAAGTTAATCCTCCTTTTCTAGCTAACGTTTTGTTGTTTGATGTAAAAAGCATGTTTCATTTGTTCTGTGTTGTCACAACTTTACAAAATACAACGATAACCTCTCACTGATGTCTTTTTCAGTGATGAAGACGGAACAGTATTTGTTGTTCTCGGCACCCACCATCTCAGCAAACCTGGCTCTAAAATAAAAGAACACATTATGTCCACATGCAAACCCCCACCTGGAATTGGGACTGACATCATGCTCATTGAAGTAAGTTTATTCAGCCCAGTAGTCCCTTGGTTTGAAGAAAATTAAACAACTGAGTTTAATTCAGTGAGGGTAAATGTAAATAAACGGGGGGAAGCAAATAGTATTAAATATTCCTGCTTATAATATTTACACAGCACAACCAAAAACCGGTTGATTTACTGTAATACTGCTCGTAATAACCTTTATTTAAGTGACTCATGTGCTCCAACAAACACATTTGTACCTGACATATGATGTAGAGTAAGACTGTGTTTTGAAAAACTGCTTTTTGATTTTATTTGTCTCAAGATAAATTCAAAAAAACCAGAAAAGCTACCAAAAGAAATTCAACTTCAAGACCCTGAAACGGATGTAAAAGAAAATGAAAAGTGCCAATTTGCTGGATGGGGTCCAGTGAAGAACGATGGATCTGATCATGACGATCAGCTCCGTGTGGCGGATGTGACTGTCATCAGCCCGGAGGCTTGCAAAGTGCAGATTCCTGGACTTCGTGCCAATGCTATCTGTACAGGTGGAAAACAGGGAGGATTTTGTAAGGTATGTTAGATACATTTGTTTCTTATTCCAAAAGAAGGTATAACATCATGCATAATCTTTTTAACAAATAAAGATATTTCCTGCTCACAGAGAGATGCTGGTGGACCCCTCGTGTGCAAGGGGAAAGCTGTTGGAATTGCGACTGTCAACGAGGACTGTTCCTTCACAGGTTTACCAAACGTCTACATTGATATCTCAGAATACCGTTCCTGGATCAACGCCTGTATTAAAGCGAAGAAATGTTTGTAAAATGTAACAATATTTCAAAAAGCTTTGCTTCAGCACACTTGTATTGTATTTGGTAGAAAATGATGTGTCTTAGTCACTGAGTGTTTGCTCTTTAACAACATTAAAAATGTTTCTCAAATATAGTTTTCTCTTTCATTAAATTCATTCAATGAAACAGATTGGATTGTGTAGGCAGATATTTATTTATTGAGCTGCTTATTCAGAGAAGCAGGTCAGCCAAGACACTCATACAAGGGGATTAACAGTAGATTTTTTACAGAAGTGTGTTAAAAACAATTAAAGAAATAAATTAACTTGTGTTTTAACCTAACAGGAAATAAATAAGTTATTTAAAATATTAAAAAATATATAAATATAACATTTTGATGTTCTATATTGCTCAATGAAGCTATATAACGTCAGCAAACCATAGTGAAGGTCCTTTGACATTGCTAAGAAGCTATTCCAGGTTCCAAGATATAAATAAGATAATGTAATATAATAGATTAAAAATGAAACAGTCCTACTATTGGTAAATCACGTACATTATGTAGAATGACCATTCAGGAAAGAGAAAGGGTTGTGAATGATAGTATTCCTAATATCATATTTATTGTTATTTATTTATTTCCTATTTTCCTAAAAAATGGCAAAGGGCAGCCACTTGAAACGCTGTTTGCATACGTGTCTGACATACAGCAGTATACCAATACGATAAGACACGTTGTGTGACACTTTACTTGAAGATATGAGTCTGGTGTCTTCTGACATCAACACTCATATCTGAGTTTGGAAACTGGTTACTGAGGTTCAGCTAGTTTGTCACACAAGTCAAAGAAATGTTTGATTAGGCTGTGTCACGCGAGGCACACATGAACCATGTCCTCATTAATTCATCTAAATAATGATGAATAAATACGACCATTTGATAAAAAAACAAAACCAAATTCAAAATATTGTAGTATTTGTTTCCTATGGTAACGGTCTTCAACAGGGTACACAAAATGGTATTTAAGTCATTATGAGAAATGCAAAATATATATTTCTAGTGTTTAGTAATCAAAACAGTGATACTTGATTCTTAAAATGGCAGTTTTATATTGACATTTACTGCAGTTTCAACAGGAGAATTTGAAAATATTTTCAACATACATGTTACTGAGGAACTCAGAGCAGAGCGTTTCTGCCATGTGTTGCATTACACCAGGGGTACTCAAATACAAATCTTAAAGGTCAAAAAAAAATGTTTCAATAAGACAAAGGTCCGTTTATTACGGTCATTCAAACTTTTAAACAATTGCAACAAGATTCTTAACACGAGGTTGCAAAAACAAAAATAATCTGTATGCAGCAGTTTTCATTGTTATTGTGTCTGTGCTTGATCCCTCAGAGTCGCAGTGTAAGAGCTGCACAGTTATGAATAAAGGCAGCTGCACCCTCTTTCATTCAGCATTCCCATTATTGCTTTATAAATGTCTTGCCCCCTTGTGTGTCCACTGAGGTTCGTCAGGCCCAACACATCTTCAACAAACTCCCCCTTTGCCTCATCATAAAAACTCACAAACACCAGCAACTGAGCATTGTCAGTGGTGTCAGTGGACTCATCCACAGCTAAGGAAATGCACTGTGCATTTTTTATTCCATCACAAAGCTGATTAATCAAATCACCAGCCAGTATTTATGTTCTTCTGGTTGCTGTGGAATCTGAGAGGGGGATTTGCTTGATTTGACCTGTTATTTCCTCTTTTTGTTTGCCTTCAAACATGGTCTCCAAAGGTTTGGGTTATTTGTAATACAGTATGTATATATTTATTTATATATATTTTTTTCTTGTTAGAATTAACGTAACATTTGATAAAAACTGATTAAAATAAATATGAACAACAACTGACAATGCCCGGCATGTTTTATTAGTTTTTTTTGCAAACAAGCCTTCTCAACATTAAAATGTTCTCCTTTTAAGGATGATTTGGTGGAAAAAAAGAGAGCTATCCGTTGCTTGGTGGTGTGTCTTCGTGAAAAGGAGGAACTCTTCAAGGAAAGCTTGGTAAGTAAAGACGATGCTTAAATCAAACTGTAACTTGTGTTAACCTGAAACACAATGCAATGTTTTCGAATCCGATTGCACAAAAAACACTGAAATGTATTTTCTAATCTACTTATTCCAGGATGGTGAAGTGGAAGTTAGCAATGAGGTGCTGAAGATTGACTTGACCAGGGGTGCGGATGCAAGAATAGTGATTGAAGGAACAGAAGTCCTTCAAATCCCGGATGCGTCAAGAGCCATGCTGATGGGGCTAATATATGCACTGAGTCCAAACTACCCAAAAGAGATGTTAAAAACTTCGGAAGCGTTTCAAAAAATACTCCTTTAATGGATGGCATGAAGGCTTGCCCCAAGGTAATGAGCCTAAAAAACAAACTGCTGTCCTCTTACAGTAAATGCTGTCAGAAAGGTCAAGGTAGTATGCATGTTAGTTATGTAATGTTAATATGTATGTGGATGTTTTGTTAACATACAGCCCACATTAGCCTCATGTTATGGCTCAAAATGTTAGTGTCAAAGATGCTACGTTAATACTGATTATTCAGACTGTTATATGCCAGTTTATTGGTTTCAGTTTGTTATTTATATATTGTTCTTAGATATTTCACTGTATGTATTTATATATAAGGTGAGATCTGAAATAGCACAGTTGTGGAAAGTTGCCATTGTTGAATTGTTGTCAATGTTATTATTGAGAGTTGACTGAAGTTGAAGAGGAGAAACAGAGAGAAAAGAGGGCCTGCCAACAGCTATTTAAAGGTTCATGCCTTTATTTACATTTGTGTATTTACTTTATTTCATGTTTGAGAACATATTTAAAAGGTCATTGTGTAAATAACATTTTTAAATAAACTGTTACAGTTTTTCTCGATTGCTAACACTCTAAAATTATACATAAAGCACAATTATTTTAAAGGGGACCTATCATGCAAAATGCACTTTTGTACGTCTTTTATACATGAATATGTGTCCCCGGTGTTCCAGGGAACTCACCAAGTGTCAGAAAACACAACCCTCTCTATTTTCCTCCATACCCAAATCTCTAAAAAAGGGGCTGCAACGGATCTGATAAAAACTGATCCAGATTTGAACACTGTCCTGACGTCAGGACAGTGGCGCTACGGCTATTGGGCCAACTCCACCAATCAGGAGGAGACAGCCACAGCCATTGCCGTTCGAAAGCGCTGGAGACGCTGTAGTACATATGCCAGGCCTGTAGGTGGTGCTGTTCTCACATAATCTGCCCTTGCAAAAACAGAGCTAAAAAATGTCAAATTGAGCAAAATGAGGCATGGCTAAAATGCATGATCTGTTTGGTATTTTGAAAAAAAAAAAAGGATAAATATGCCTTATATAGGTATGGTCCTATACTATATTATTCAAATATAGCATGATAGGTCCACTTTAACTGACACTCAAAGAGCAAAACATCGGCTCAAATCTCCAAAACTCTAAACAAGTTTTCAGCTTTTCACACAATTTGCAAATCAACATGGCACTTTTTGCAAACCACTGCACACGTTTCTCCACGTAAGACACAGGAATCTGACATAAAGTCACGTGTTAGCAGGTTTAAAACACTGATATTCAAAATGCCTCACACATGTTGGCCTGTTGGCTCATCAATCAGGATGTTAGCATTATAAAAAGACCACAGGTGAGTACTTTCTTACAGCAACAATGGAAGCCAACATGGAAGCAAGAGCAAGAGGAAGAGGAAGAGCTGGGCTGAGAGTGAGAGGAGGAGGAAGAGGTGGGGTGAGAGTGAGAGTGGACAAAGAAGAATACTCTCGAATGAAATGAAATGTTATCAACCATGGTTTGACGATGAGAGAGGCTGGACACAGGGTTCAGCCTAATCTAAGCCGATTTACTGTTGCCTCTGTAATCCGGACACTTAGACTTGATAACAGGTTAGTTACCAGTTTTTAGCTCTGCATAATTCATGATATATCAGTGCTTATATCTGTTGTGTGAAAAGTATTTACTTCATTACTGTAATTGAATTGTTGGCATGTTGCATACTATAACTGTACAACAATCCTGCACAATTTACTGTGGTAAACTTACTTTTATGCAACACAGACACTGACCAACCACTATATCTTTGTTGTTTATCTGAAGGACTGAGAAACAAAGAGGTGCAGGTGGAAGGCTAAGGATTTTCAATGAGGCACGGGAAGCAGCAGTTACAAACTTGGTGTTGTCGAACAAGGCCATCACACTTAGAGAGATCCGAAGCATAGTAACTATGTGCTGAGATGCATGTTGCACAATGTTATTTTTGAATAAAATGTGATTTTTTTCAACAACTCATTTGTATTTCTTCATTTACTGTATTTCTGTATCAAGCAATCTTTCTCTGCAGAAACCTCTATGTACAGAGCATAGCCCATACAAGATGAAAGTGCTTTAGATTATGCTCAGTGTGTAGTGGGTGGTCAAACAATCTAGTATTATGAATGAAGTGTGTACATTTTGGTGCAAAAGTTTGCATTTGGTAAGTGTTTATGTAGTTTTGAGTGCAGTTCTTCATTTAGCAGGAGAGATTAGGTGTTTTGCACTTTGGGTGTGTGGTTTTGTGAATTGTGTTTAGTGTTCTGAGAAACTGAGCAATTTAAAAAAAGAATGTGTGTTAGCAATCGAAACAAACTTTAATATCACTACATCTTTACGATTCAAATTAAGTTGGTTCAACT